CGGCTCACACCTCGCTGCCGGAAAAAGGGGGAAAAAAAAGGAAAAAAAGAGGAGGATGGAGTGCTCGGGCGGGGATGAAGCGTTCCTCACCGCGATTGAGAGCCCGGACTGGAACCGGGGCACGGTGCTGAGGCCACCCCGGGTCACATAGGGGACAGCGACAGAGCGGGACCCGCCACAGCCGCGGCTCGGAGCCCTCCTGGCCCTGGGATCCCTCCTGGCCCCTGGATCCCTCCTGAATTTTGTAGAATTGGGATTTTTTAAGGCACATTTGGGTCCAGCTGCAGCCAGGAGCGGAGGAGAGCCCGGGATGTGCTGAGGGTCCTTCCTGGAGCTGCCCAAAATTCCATCCTGGGAAGGAACCAGCTCCAGGCAGGATTTGGGAGGGCGCTGAGGACAAACAGAGGGCGCCGATCCCTCTGCCCGTGCTGAGTCACCAAGGCAAATTTCAGAAGGGTAAAAGGGGGATGAAAATCAGGGAAAAAAGGATGGAAGAGGAGAGATGAAGGCGGGAAGGGCCGGCCCCAGCCCCAGGAGAGCGGCGGAGCCGCGGCATCGCCCGGCGTTGCCATGGAGACGCAATTTGGAGCTCTGGCGCTCTTTGCGATCCTCGCTCCCCCTCTCGGTTGAATTCCCGGGTCTTACTCCTGGTTTTTATTCTCGGTTTTTATTCCCGGTTTTTATTCCCGGCTTTTATTCCCGGTTTTTATTCCGTGTTCGCAGCCCAAGGGGCCTATCTGAGTTTGGGGTCCAAGGTGGGGGGCAGGGACAGGTTTGGGGTGATCGGGATCCCCCTCTGGATCGGTCACCCTGGAGGGGCAGTGTGGGGCCTGGATGAAGATTTTCCAGGATTCTCCAGGATTTTCCCCTCTGGATTCTGTGCCCGAGGGTCCCTCTGGGTCCAGCTCGCGGCTCCTTCCAAGGGGATCCAGCGGCACATTCTGGGATTGGGAATGGGGCGGGAGAGACCCCCAGGGTCATCCCCTTTCACTTCCGGGGTGAAAGGCTCCATGGAATCCCGAAATCCTGGAATTATTCCCTTGGAAAAGCCCCCCAAGACCCCCGAGCCCGACCCTTTCCTGGTCCCGCGTCCCCAAGCGCCACATCCTGAACCTTCCCAGGAATTCTCCCTCCCCCACTGCCCCTCCAGGGCAGGAATTATCCCTAAAATCCGACCTGAAGCTCCTCCAAGGAAAAATTCCCAAAGATTTTTGGGAATTCCTGGAGCAGTCAGGCTGACATTGCCACCGTGTGGGGACAGGGCGGCAGCGCCGGGGAGTAGGAAATTCCCGAATTCGGATTGTTTTAGGATAAAATAACCCCGGGATGATGCCTGGGATGGGATGGGATTTTATGGGTTTTTATGTCCCTTTCAACAAGAACAGATGGGCTTTCCCACAGAATTCTCATATTTTTCCCCCAAAAGACCGACTTTTCCACAGGATTCCCATATTTCCCCTAAAATGAGAGGCCTTTCCACAGGATTTCAGGTTTTTCCCCAAAAGGAAGAGAATTTCCACTGAATTCCCTGGTTTCCCCCAAAAAAGAGGGACATTTCCACAGCATTCCCATATTTTCCCCCTAAAGTGAGACACCTTTTCCCAGGATTCCCATCTTTCCCAACTCAAAAGGAGGGGCCTTTCCATAGGACTTCCAGGATTTTCCCCAAAAAGAGGGATCTTCCCACAGAATTCCCTTGTGTCACCCCAAAAGGAAAATGGGGAATTCAGGCAAGTCTAGGAATTTGGGATGAATCTCTGCTCCCTGAGCATTCCCAGGAAGAAGCGTTCGTCACTGCTCCCTTTTTATTTGTACCCAATCCGTTGGTTTTTGGAATCAAAACCTTTCCAAGGCTTCCCATCCCAAGGCAATCCGTGATCCTTTTAGGGCCGAGTCTCTCCAAATAGGATTTTCCCTTTTTTATCCCCAAACCCCTCATTTTGGACAACAAAACCCCTCCCCCCTCGCTTGCCCGCTCTTCCTGCTCTTTCCAAATTCCCGAAAACTTCAACTTTGCATTTCTGAGCGCTCCGGGGTAGGGCCGGGGTCGCTCTGGGGTCAGCGGGGTCACCGCGGGTCACCGAGCAGCTGCTCCCCTCTTAATCCCTGGAAAATCCCGGGAATTCGGGAGGATCCGTTCGCATCCCGAATAAACGCCTCAATCACCGGAAATACTTGGGAAAAGGTTAAAAAAAAAAAAAGAAAAAAGGGATTTTTCCCACCCTTTTAGGGTTTGGTAGCACCAAACTCGCTGTGGTTTCAAAACGTCCCAAGGGGATTTTAAATTTATCCCAAATCTTTCTGTTTTATCCCAAAGTTTTCTATTTTACTCCAAATATTTTTAGGGATATTTTTTTACTTCCCGCAAGGAAAGGGAGTGGATAAAACCATTCCCTGTAAGAGGAATAATTCAACTGGGATGGGACTAATTCATTTCTAATCCAGTTTCCGGGGGTTTTCCTGGCAAATCCGTGTATCCTCCAGGATTTCTCTCCCTTTTTTATTCCAAATCTCTCATTTCCCCCTCGAGGGTGGGAAGGGAATGCCAGCACCCCTGGATTTGGGGTAATTTCCATTAATTTCCTCTTTCCTGGGATCCAAATGGCTAAGGGGGGAATTTCCTGGGTGAGGATTGTCCTGGGAATATTTCAGGGGTTTTCTTGTGGCCTGGGAGGGTTTGGAATGTGTGAATACAGAAATGCATAAATGTGTATATAAATAAATCCATATTAAAAAATAATTTATAAAAGCATAAGGGTATATAAAAAATAAATTACATATTATATTTTAAAATAAATAAAAATAAATTACATACAAATATATAAACGTATATAAAAATATATAAACAAATATACAAACACAGAAGTTCAGAAACACCCAGATGCACACACCAATGAATACTCAATTCCATGCATAAATAAACACAAATACTTGGATATTCCAATATTCACATATTCAAACATTTGGATATTCGGATATTCAGATATTCAAATATTTGAATATTTGGATATTCGAACATTTGAATATTCCAGTATTTTGATATTCCAATATTCTGATATTCAGACATTTGGATATTTGGATATTCAGATGCTGTGATATTCAGATATTGGAATATTTGGGTATTCAGATATTCCAATATTCGAATATTCCCATATTCAGATATTGGGATATTCCAGTGCAGACACTTCCAGGTTTTCTGGCCGAGCTCGTTCCCCAAAATAGTCCACCCCAGGGATCCCTCAGTGGGATCCTGGAAGATCCCAATCCTGTCTGTTCCCATCTCCAAAAAAACCCTAAAAGAGTAAAAAACCCCAGCTAAGAGTGAGCCGTGCATTGATAACGGGAGGTGCAGGGGACACAGAAAAGTCCTGGGGCCACAACCCCGGGGAATTTGACATAAAATTACTTTATTTGATATTAAAATGAGTTTATTTGGGATTAAAATTAGTTTATTCGGGAAGCACCTCCCTCCCGTACCCTGCCCACTGCAATATAAATAGAATACATGAATTAAAAATAAATATATTTATAAATAGAAAGCATTTCCATGTCCCAAACCGCGTCCCTACAGACACACCCCGCGTGGAATCCCGAGCGGAATTTCACCCTTTTCCCAAAAAATCCCCTCCTGGCGCTCCCAGATTTCCTGGGAAATGACGTCTCCACTCATCCCCCAGCCCCCTTCCGCTCGGGGGGCTCCGGCTGCTCCCCCACATTCCCCCTCGGGAGTTTGGGGAGAATTCCCTGCGATTTGGGGCTTTCCCGGAGCCTTTCAGGATCCCCTGGGAGGGGCAGAATTCCCGAATTTTCCTCCCCGCTCCGCTCCTCCCTCCCTGCCGAGCTCAGCCCAAAGGTAAAATGGCTCTGGCTCGGTATGGAAAAGGGAATTTAACCCCAGGATTCCCAGAAAAGCTCCAGCGCCGCTGAAAATTTCGGGAATTTTTCATCTTGGTGGCCCCCACACCCCTTTTCCCAAACAATGAAGGATTTGGGTGTTTTTGTTGAAAAATTCCCCTCATGAAATTCTCTCCTGTGTGATACCAGGGGGGAAATGTGGGGGACTGGGGTGGAAAATTGGGATTTTTTTGGTGCAGGGGAGCACCCATGGGTGCTGGAAAAAGGGGGAGATCCATCCCACAGGGATCGCTCTGGGATCAGCGGGAAAAGCTATCAGGTGATCCCCGCTCGCGGATTTGAGTTATTTAAATTTTTTTTTTTAATTTTCTTTTTTTACACCCTCGCTCAGGAATGCTCTTCCTCCTCCTCTTTTCCTCCTCCTCCTCCTTTTCTCCTCCTCCTCCTCCTCCTCCGGGATCGTTGCTAATTTGGGATCTCTCGTGCTCCAAAAAATCATTATCATCAAATTTCAGATTAAAATTTTTAAAAAAACCAAACCCAAACAACCCAAAAAAAGCCCAGAAGGAGAAGAACAAGCCCAACTTTTCATGCGGGAGACAAAACAGGGGCTGGGGGGGGAGCGGAGCCGCCGCTTCCCTGCCCCCAGGAAGGTTTCCCTGGGAACAATTTCCCCAAAATTCGCCTCCTGAGCAGGAGCTCAGACCCCGCTCCAGCGGCCTCAGGTTCAGAGGGACCCGCCACAATGGAGCCCAGCACTTAAAATTGGATTTTTTTATTATTTTTTCCCATTTTCACCCCTTTTGCAAAGAGGAATCTGCAGCCTGGGGTTGTTGCAGGGATTTTTGTTTGGGTTTCTTTTCTTTTCTTTTTTTTTTTTTTTTTTTTTTTTTTGAGAAAGCACCGCGGGAGAGTTGCTAAACACCAAAGGAACCTTGGGATTTAAAGTTGGAAATAAAGTTTAGCCGCTCCGAGGTGTGAGAGAGAATTTTCTGGTTTTTCCCTCTATTATTTCCCATTTTGAAAATTTATTTTCCCCTCCCTAATTTTATTTTTCTTCCTTTTTTTTTCCTTTTTGGGGTATTTTTTCCAAATTTTTATTTTCCTTTTTTTTTCTTTTTTTTCTCCTTTTTTTTTTTTTTTCTTTTTACCTTTTTTTTCCTTTTAACAAAGAATTCGAAGGGAAAAAAACAAAAAGACACGAAGTGAATAAAGACCATGTGGGAGTAAAATACAAAAAAGGGAAAAAAAAGAAGAATACAACTCTCTCCTAACTCTCTTTTTCTCCACCGCTGTTACTGTGGACGCCAGCTAATAAATACAATTAATTAGCAATTAATTAATAAGCTGCAGGATGAATTGTGGCCGAGGCGATGACTTCGAACAAGCCGCCTAGAAGGAACATTTTTCACGCTTTATTAAAAATATTCCTCCACACACCCATCCCAGAGGAATCCACATTTGGGAAGGCGCAGCGACCTCTTCAACCAACCCAAAAAACCATCGAAAAATCCATTTAAACCGCGGAAACAAAGCGGAGGCGCCCGCGCTGCCGCCACCTCGGAACCTCGGTGATTTGGGGTTTTCATTTGGGGTTTTTCGAGGGGGGAACAGCGGTGCGGAGGGGTCCCCATTGTGTGGGCGGGGTTTGGGGAGGGGGCGCGGGGGAAATTTGGGGTTTGGGGACACCCGATGGAGCCGGGGGCGTTCCCGGGGGTGCCCCCGGAGGGAACGCGGGACCCCCCCCGCGCCCCCCGAGCTTTGTCCGCTCCAGCTCTCGGTTGATTTACACCGATCCCCCCCGCCCCAAATAAAGGGATTATTTGGGAGGCGGAGGTGGGTGCGGGGCTGGCCCGGGCGATGAGAGATGTTTGACTTCTTGATTTTTTTCTCTTTTTTTCCTCGCCGGGGAGGGGGCAGACGAGGAGCCGAGCCCCGGAGCAGGAATTGGGTGTTCGGGAGATGTTGCCAGTACCCAACCGGAGCGTTTGAAAGCGAGATCGGATTTTTTCGTTTTTTTTTTTTTGATTTTTCCCCTCTTTTCCCTGTTTTTTTTCACCTCCCCTCCCCCTCTGGCCCCTCTCTGGAGGGATGTGTGTGATCAGCGAGTGGAAACACAAATGTCCTGATTTTCCTGATTTTCCCTGCCCCTCTTTGAAAGGGACAAAGTAAAAAACAAAAACAAAAAAAAAAAAACAAAAACAACCTCCCAGAAATGTTCCTGACCTGCGAGGGGACCTTGGGGATCGTTCCGGCCACCATGGACTACAACGTGCAAGCCCGGCCGGGCCATTTCCACGCTGGCTACCAACAGATCGAAGGCATCAACTTGGGCTACTTACAGATCAACGGCACCCAGATGTTCGCGCTGGCCCAGGTGCTCAGCGACCTGTTCAAGGACATCCCCAGGACCACCATCAGCAAGAAGATGGAAACCTTAAAGATCAAGAGCCGCCGCTGTGACCTGGCCGAGCTGCGGACCCTCAAGGCCATCAACTCGGTGCCCACGCGCGCCGTTAAGTGCTCGCTCATCTCCAAGGCGGACCTGGAGGCTCTCTGCACCTCCTGCAAGAGCCTCCGCTGGAGGAAGAGGAGGAGGAAGAGCAGGAGAAGGGAGCAGCNAAGGGAAGGGAAGGGAAGGGAAGGGAAGGGAAGGGAAGGGAAGGGAAGGGACAACGTGAGGGGACAGAAGTGTCACCCTCACCAGTGTGTCCAGCCAGATTGGATGGGGCCCAGGTTCAACCCCAGCCCAGCAGGGACGTGCCTTTATTCCCCTTTTCCTAAAGGCAAAGCCGCATTTTGGGGGGAAATCAGCAGTTTTCCTAAATGAGGGAGCAGAGCTGAGCCTGTCACCGACACCCAAACCCCACCAGTGAACCACAGCTCCCAGTCAGTGCCAGTCCCCAGCCAGGGCTGTCCCCACCCTGTCCTTTCTCAGGAGGGGCACCAGCATCCCCAGACTGTGACCAGGACGTTCCATAAAACCCAACATTTCCAAAAAAAGAGGGCGGGCATCCGTCCCTGCCCATCCCACCCTGCTGGGAGGGGACAAAGCCCGCAGCTCCTTCTGCACAAAGCCACCAAAACCCTCTGTGACCGCCCCGCCACGGCCGGGGGTTCCTGAATGACCCCCCGAGGGGGTCCCAGTCCCGCTCAGCAGCTCCCAGTGGGGAGGGGGCTCCTGCCGGGGGCACCGAGCCCTTCCCAGGGGCTGCCGAGCATTGCCGGGGGCAGCCTGGTGGGAGATAATTAACGCGTTGGAAATGAATTCCTCATTAAAACCCGGCAGCAGCCGCCGCTGGGGCTGGAACAGCCCCGGGGCTGCGCTGCCCTGAACGTCGGGTGGGTTTGGGGGGGACAGGAGGGGCCTTAAAGGGCCCCCCCGCCCATTTTGCCAGCACTGGGAAATCCGTGGGGGGTCCAGAGGGGCTGGGGAGCACCTGAACCCCAAAGATGGGGACTGGGAAGCACCTGAACCCTCGGGATGGTGCCTGCACCCCCAAAAGGGGTGGCTGGGGAGCACCTGCACCCCAAAGATGGAGAAGACGTGGGGGCACCTGCACCCCCAGAACGCGGGCTTGGGGCTTTGGGGTTCTCAGGGTCCGGCTTTGGGATCCCTGGGAAGGGCTGAACGCCCCTCCCGGTGCGGGACCCCTCCCCTGAGCTGTGACCCCCGTGTCACCCCTGGGGGCGNGGATTTGGGAGATTCCGGGGGAAGGAGCGGGGCTTGGCAGGGGGGGAGGAGGAAGAGGAGGAGAAGGCAGGGAAGGCTCCATGGCGGTGTCCTTGAGAGTCCTTTGGAGGCTCTCTTCTCGGGAAGGGCTGAAAATCCCCGAGCGCTCCTGGATTTGATGGCGGGGACCGCGGGGAGGGACGGAGGGAGGGAGGGACGGAGTAGGAGCGGGGGAAGGAGGGGACAGCGCCACACCCTGACAGGACCTGGGGACAGCGACACACCCGAACAGGACCAGTTTGCAGCGGGAATTCAGCTCCCATATTTCCCTGTTTGGGGCTGGGATTCAGCTCCCACATTTCCCAGCTTTTCGCTGTTCCCTGATCACTGAGCTCCTCCTCTGCCTCCGCAATCAGAACATTTCAGCAGTGAGAGAACAACACAAACAACCCCGAAGTGTTTTTGTCCCACTCTTTTCCCTTCCCTTCCTTTTCCTCCCACCCTCTCCATCATCTGCTGGAGATGAATCTCAAAAAAAAAAAATCTTTAAAAAATTGAGAAAAAACCCAAACCCCATCATTTGCATGGATTCTGAAAGTGGAAAGCGAGCGGGGGGAGGGATAAAATAAAAATAAAATAAAACCAGCTGACAGCAAAGTTTCATTGTCCCCGAGCTGTGATCGGGGAGGGCTCAGCCTGAAGAGCCCTCGAGTCCTGCAGCACCTGCAGCTGGCACGGGGAGGGAGGGGAAGGAGGGGAAGGGAGGGGTCTCAGAGCGCTGAGAATCCTCCCGGGGATGGATTTGGGATGTCGCCAAAGTCTGGGGGAATGGGGTGCTGGCTCGGGGGGTCAGAGCCCCGATTTGGGGGTTTGGAATGGGACAGTCCCACAGTCTGGGGAAGCGGCTTCAGCTCTTCACCCTGGGGAGCTCGAGTTTTGTAGGATCATGGAATATCATGGGATTATGGAATTTCATGGGGTCATGGAATGATTAGCGCTGCAAGGACCTGGAGGATCCTCTCATCCCAGCCCTGTGGGATCCTCTCATCCCAACTGTGGCCATTCCCTCTCCTCCTGTCCCTTGGGATCACAGCCCAGCCCCTCTGGCTGTCCCCTCCTGTCAGGGACCTCAGAAGGTCCCTCCTGATCCCCCTTTTCTCCAAGATGAACATTCCCTCTCCCTCAGGAGCTCCTGCCCCTTCCCAGGATCACTCCCATATCCTGTCACAGGGACAGGGACAGGGACTGTGCCACCCTGGCCCTGTCCCCTCCCCGCCAGCCCCTGCCATGGGGTGAGGCTGCCACGTGTCGCCGCTGTCCCCAGGGCGCGCGGGATCGATGGCCACAATCGATGGCTCTAATTAAACCCTGGCCTGATGGCTCTGCCCAGCCGAGGTGGCCCCTGGGGACCGCGGGTGACACTCCGGAGCCAAGGGCACCCCGCTGCCATGGGAAGGGTGGGAATATGGGAATTTTGGGGAAATTTGGGGAATTTNCCTCCAAAGCCAGGCCGCCAAAAACTCCCCGGAGGAATTCCAGGAAGGGAAACGCTCCCTGCAAAGCCAGCCCGCCTCGGAATTCCTTCAGCCTGATGGGCAACTTCCCCTGCACGCCCTCGCTGGTGGTGGGCGAGGACGGGGACTTGTGCCCGGCCTCGTCGCTGGGTGGCAAAAACTCCTGGGCGCTGTCCAAGACGCACCCGCTGTGGCGGTGGCACCTGGGGGGCAGCGCCATCCCCGTGCCCCCCAGCCTCAAATTCCGCGGCTGCGCCAGCCTGGAGGATCCCTGAGCAGCGCAGGAAAAATCCCAGGATCGCGGGAGGTGCCCGGGATGGGAGCGGGGTCAGCCCAGCCCCGCGTGGGGAAGGGGCTGCCCGGACGAGCCGCGCGGGGATTTGGGGCTGATTTGGGGCGATTTGGAGATGATTTGGGCCCGATTTGGAGCTGATATGGGGCTGGTTTGGGTGCGACTTGGGCTCATTTGGGGCTGATTTTGGCCTGATTTCGGTCCGATTTGGGGCTAATTTGGAGCTGATTGGGGTCGATTTGGGCCGCGTGCCCTGCGGGATGTTGGGTTTGGGAGGAGTTTTAGGGTGAGGTTAAAGCGCGCGATGGAACCCAAACAATTTCCCAAAAACTCCGCACTCCGCTGAAAACGAGGGAGTGATTCCCAGGAAATGGATTTAGGGATGAAACGGCTGCTGGGAGAACTGGGAATGAGCTGGGAAAACTGGGAAGGAGCTCCCCCTGCCCTGACCTCCCGACCCTACTCCAAAAAAAACAAGTTCCAAACCCCAGACCTCATTTCTCCTTTTTCCTCCATAAAAATTGGATTAAAACAATAAAAATCCCACGCAGGAAAGGGGAAATTCCCGTTTCTTTCAGGGCCGAGTGGATGCCGGGGAAAATTTGGAAAATCCGGAAAATCCCGGTTTTCCAGCGGGGTTTTTGTGGTGGAGGGGCGGGGAGGAAACGCCAACTTTAAAAAAAAATCGGGAATTTCGAGAGGTTTCAGGAGACAGCGGGAGAGGTGGAGAGGGAGTGACTTGAAGCTGCTCCATTGAAATCTAAACAATCTTTTTAAAAAGTGGTGGAAAAAGGGAAAAATGTGAGGAATTTGTGTGATAATAATCCCTGGAAAAGGTTTGAATCCCGGGAAGAAAATCCGGGAAAATCGGGAATGAAAGGATTTGATCCTCGCTGGAATTTCCCTCCCTCCCCTGCTTGAACTTTTCCAAACCTTTGGAAATTCCCGATGGAATTTTCAGTCCATCAAGGCCCACAAATCTGTGCTTTGGGAACTTGAAAACCCCCAAAAATCAAAGCTATTTTGGGGTTCTTTGCTTTGTTTTTTGTTTTTTGGTTTTTTGTTTTTGTTTTTGTTTTTTCTTTTTTTTTTTGGTCTGGTTTTTTTTTTTTTTCAGAAGGAAAAAAGATTCCTGGCTCTCTCCGGGGGTCCCGCTTGGAAAAGTCTTATTTTTCTCTGCAAAATTTAGGAATTTAGGCCCGAAAACAAAAAACAAAACAAAAACATTTTCAAAATTAAAAGTCGCTGCGAGGGAAAAGGGAAGGATTGAAAGGAAAATCTTCACACTCGGCCTGCTGGATTTATTCCTATTTTTAATTTCATTTTTAAATTCCATCAGCGCCTTAAAATATAAGGAAAATAAGGGGGAAAGGGCCTGCGGGGGGAAAGGGATTTTAAAGGCCAGGAATGTTTAGGATCTGCTGGGCTCCGTTTTCTCTGGAAGTGGCGAAATGGTACTAAAAGCGGTGTTTGTTTAATTTGGGGTTTTAGCGGTTTTTTGGGGGGTTAAATCGGGTTTTTTTAGTTGTTTATTTCGCCCCCTCCCGCTGAGCAGAGTAGTGGGGAATTCCCTCTGCAAAATATTGGGATTTTCGAGCAGTTATTCCCCCAAAAAATTCCCCAAACAACCTGAAAACGTGGCAAGAAAAGAAGATTTTAGGGGAGGTTTTCCATGGAATTCCCATGGAATTCCGGGTGGGGTTAAAAATGTATTTTGTATTTAAAAAAAAGGAATTTTAAATAATTTGAGGGTGGGGTTGGGAAACAAATTCCGGGATGCGCGCTGGGAATGAATATTTATATTTATATTTATAATCCTATAAAAATCATATAAATATATATTACACATAATATAACTATATTAGAATCCTACATGAGTATAAATATAAATATATAAATATTTAAATCCAGCAACCTTCACACCCCACAGCTTCCCCCAGAGAAACTCAGGAATATTTTTCCAAGGGATAAAATCACCTCGGGAACTGTGGAGGGAGTGGCCCAGATTTTTATCCCGGTAAATACGGCTAAAAATTCACTTTTTCTATTAAAAATTCACATTTTGGGCAGAGATTTTGTTCATTTCTCTGTTCGTGCATGGGGTTGGGATATAAATAATTGTGAATATTTCTGAATATTTGTAAATATTCTGTAAATCTCAAAAAAATCTCTGTAAATGTTCTGTAAATATTTGAGGGGCTGAGAAAAAAAAATTCAAAATACCTCAAAGTTTTCATTAAAAAGGCCCCTGGAGCAGCCGAATTGCCCAAACAATAGTCATTAAAATAAGAATTATCATCCTGATGTTAATTATGATAATTCTTGCTTTGGTTTTGAGGTGTTTAAGGGAATTTAAGCTACCAAAGAATAAAAAAAAAAAATAAACTTTAAATGAGATAGAGTGAGGGGGATGGAGTGGCAGTGGAAATAAACAGAATAAAAGAAGTATAAATTTAAAAATAAAAGAAAATACAATTTTTGGCCTGGAATCGCTTGGTTTGGGGTGAAAATCAGCAATTCTTGGGTGATTTGGGGTAAAATTTCACTTCCAGGAGAGCGAAAGGGAGGGGAATTTTCATTAAGTGGGAGAAAAGGAGCAAAAAGTCGGATTTTTTTTTTGTCATAAAATCCATTCTTGTGTTCATTTTTGGTTGGGGTTGGAGGAAAGCAAAACAAAGATGGGAAAAATAATGGAAAACCCCAACTTTGCTCCTCTGGAGTGGAAATTCCCATTTCTTTGGGGTAAAAAATTCTCATTCCTTTGGATTAAAAATTCCCATTTTTTGAGTTTAAAATTCCCATGTTTGAATTAAAAATTCCTATTGCTCTGGGTTAAAAATTCTTCTTCTTTTTTTGTTAATTAACAATTCCCCTTTTTATGAGGGAATTCCCAGCTCCAATCTGGGATGCAGGGAGGGATCGGGATGAGCTGGAGAATGATGATCGCAAAGGCAAGAGCTGTAGAATCCCATTGAGGTGAGCTCCAGGATGGGAATCCCATTGGGATGCAGTGGAGAATGGGAATCCGGGATGAGCTGCAGGATAGGGATCCCAACGGGATGAGCTGTAGGATGGGGATCCCACTGGGACTGTGGGATGGGGATCCCAATGGGTTGCAGTGGGGAATGGGAATCCTGGATGAGCTGTGGAATGATGATCCCAAAGGGATGAACTGCAGGATGCCAGTGGGATCAGCTGTAGGACCAGGATCCCACTGGGATGAGCTCTAGGATGGGGATCCCACTGGGATGAGCTGTTGGAAAAGCTCAGTCTCCTGGGGTTATTCCCAGTTCCGGGAGGTTCCTCCCTTCCCCTGCAGACCCTAGGGACCGGAGGACACCGAGGGACGCCGTCCCAGTGC